TGATGTGTGAAAATTGGAAATTTTCTTGGTGGCTTTGGTTGTTTTTCTACATTTTTCCTTTCATTAATTAATGCCACACATTTTATTTCAAAAAAATAAAAAAATTTAATACAACACATTTTAGATGGCAAAGAATGCAAACAAAATTACACATTAATTTAAGAAAGATTGATCTATGGTATAAGAACAACGGTACCCCTCGTACCCCGAACATCTCCACGATAGTATGATATTGTCTGCTTTGGACATAACCCTCACGGCTTTTCTTTTGGTTTCACCTAAAATGCCTCATACCAATGAAGATAACTGTCATCTTTTATGTACCATGGATCACCCATTTCGTTAACCAATGTGAGACTTTGTTTGCACTCCTTACAAACCCAACAAATACTTGGGTACTTGGAGCACCATTATCTTTAACAAGTGCATCAGAGTCATGGTAAAAAATCAAGCTATATGGTCGAAATATTATAGCCATTACAAAAGTGTGGATGAGGATGCAATATTGGTGCCGAAAAAAGAAGATGGGTGAGCCTCAAAAGATGTAGTCATAGGATTATGGAGAAAAGGAGTTGGCCTGCATAGGATCGAGTTGGCGGATGGATGACTATTTGAGGGGTAGCTTCGCAGTAATTATTTCTATTGATATGAAACATTTTGGATGAGACCTAAAATAGAGCGTACAATATACTAACACCACAAATAAAGTTAGAGAGTGACAAAAATTTTCGAATGAAAAAAAATTCAAAATTTAAGGTAAAAATAGAGTGGAGAGAAAGACAATTTTGGAAATTATAATCATTTCAAAAACTAAATTTTTAGTAAATAAATCAATTGAAGAATCACACCCAAGCAATTAATTGGAAATCCTTTAAATAATTTTGAATTTTCCAAAATCACTTATAATCCCTGCATGTTTGTTATTTTAAAATGAAAGTGATTTGCAAGAATATTTTTAGCCGTGCAAAAATCACTCCCTAAATTGGTTGACTAAAAACACTTGTTATAAAAGCCCAACAGGACCTTAATTCTCTCATCTCCTCTGCCTATTTTAGTACTCCACTTTGACGATATTAATTATTCATGTTTACTTGGTGCGTTCACCATTTGAGTCTTAACAAAGTTTCAATTCGTAAACAAAAGTCACCATTCTTTATTTAAAATTTCATCGTTGAACTGAATTGACCGACCAAGAACCAAAATAAAACTTACCTACACGCAGTAGTCGTAGTCGTAGCAATAATTAAATAAACAATAAAATATAATTTTTATCATTTTCCAATGGACCCTTCCACTCATTTACACTCAACATGGCTATTCACTTGAGAGTTAGTTGTCAGTATCTCTGATCGAATATAATAGAATGTTTCTTTGGCTTTCCCTCATTTGTCCATTAATTTGCCCCATTCTCATCAAGATCGAGACCAGCTTGAGCGTTTTCTTTACAGCCCTTTCAGACAGATTTCAAAGTTTTATAGAGAAAATCCTGAAAGGAAATATTGGATATATAATTAGGAAATATACGGAATACAATATATCTGTCAATATGATTATATTCACCCAATATATCGTTAGTTGTTTCGTTTCACTTGGCAATGAAATCAGAGAAGTTTACTTAGCTTGAATCCCAAATCGTTCCTTACTCAACATAATTTAGGTTATTCAAAAAAAAAAAAAAACTAAAATTTTAAGCATGTTTTTTGCCATCTATATATATAACATAATATGAAAAATAAGAAAAGGAGAAGCAGTTTTAATTTGGAGGAAAAAAAACGTGGGGAGCATGTCGAAAGGGAATACATGGACACGAAGCTGCTTTGAAGAACCAAAAAAGGAAAGAGACAATTATCCTTATCCGAGTTCCCAAAGGCTTCGCGTTAGGATCTGAAGCATGGGATTGGATTATACCATACGGACTCAAGGCTGTCGTAAACGAGGACTGTTCAAAAACCAACACGATTCTAGGATCTCCGAATCAATGCCTTATCCACTCTTAATCAACGCTAATCAATATAATATATATATCCCCCGGCCTCACTTTTCCATCATAATTCAACCACCACCGCCACCACTACCATTACCATTCTTACCTTTGAAATGGTAGCTTAATTATGATGATCTTTCCCTCTCGCGTTCCCCTTTCATAATTTACGACGATCATAATCATATATGCATCTCTGCCTTGCAGGATCCAGAGAGTATCAGTGAAATTCCCGAGACCTCTGAGACGAGGATGACGTCGATGATGACAGCGTCAGCGGAGGCCGAAGCGAAGCCGGAAGCCCAAATCAACAACTGGCTGCCCATCACTGCGTCCAGGAAAGCCAAATGGTGGTACTCCGCTTTTCACAATGTTACCGCCATGGTCGGCGCGGGCGTGCTGGGATTGCCCTTTGCCATGTCGCAGCTTGGATGGTACTTTTGTAATTTCCTAAAGTTAATTCAATTATAGGATACATATAGGATAGGAGTAGCTGAGTAGGAATAATTAATGTTTGAATTTAGGGCCCCTGGAATCGTTGCGATTGTGGCGTCTTGGGTGATCACGTTCTACTCGCTGTGGCAACTTGTGGAGTTGCACGAGTTGGTGCCTGGGCGGCGGTTCGACCGATACCACGAGCTTGGGATGCACGCGTTCGGGCCGAAGCTGGGCTACTGGAGCATCATGATCCTCCAGCTCATCGTCCAGGTTGCTTCCACCATCGTGTACACAGTGACCGGGGGCAAATCCCTGAAGAAGTCCTTCGACCTCGTGTTTCCAGAGGTGTTCACAGAGGTCCGACAGACATATTTCATCCTGTTCTTCGCGGTGTTCCAGCTGGTGATGTCTCAAACCCCCAACTTCAACTCCCTCAAAGGAGTGTCTCTGCTGGCTGCAGTGATGTCGTTCTCGTATTCCATGGTGTCCTGCGTTGCGTCGGTGATCAAGGGGAGTGAGGACCACCACGCCCACCCAGTCACGTACGGGGTTCGATCCCAAAACACGCTGGACCAGACCTTCGACGCCCTCAACGGAATCGGGACCATCGCGTTCGCATTCGCGGGCCACAGCGTGGCTCTGGAAATACAAGCCACCATCCCCTCCACCGAGGAAACGCCCTCCAAAGTCCCCATGTGGCGTGGGGTCATTGTCGCTTACGTCATTGTTGCCGTCTGCTACATCGCCGTTTCCATTTCCGGATATTGGGCCTTTGGAATCTCCGTCGAGGACGACGTTCTGGTTTCTCTCGAAAACCCTACTTGGCTCATTGCTGCTGCCAACTTCATGGTCTTTCTTCACGTCGTTGGAAGCTACCAGGTGATCTCAATTAATTATATATATATATATATATATATATATTCATCATAATTTAATTTCTCTTCATTAATAAATTAACCATATTAATTAATTCATTAGGTCTTCGCAATGCCTGTGTTCGATACCATTGAGTCAGCTCTAGTACAAAAGTACCATTTCAAGCCAAGTCGAATTCTACGACTAGTTGCTCGTAGTAGTTACGTTGGTAAGTAGTAACTATAATTTATAATCATACTAACTAATTGATCTTGTAGATTAAAAGTTATTTTCTTTGGTTTATGGACAAAAACTTAATTGAGTTGTGGCATATTGCATGAGCAGTATTAGTGGGATTTGTGGGGATGTGCATTCCATTTTTTGGAGGATTACTGGGATTCTTCGGCGGATTAGTGTTTGCTGCCACCTCGTACTTCGTAAGTGTTTTTCGCCTTTTTTATTTTTATTTTTTAAATAAAACAAAACAAGATTGATTTGAAAATAATTAATTACTAACGATGGATTTGAACAAATCAGATTCCTTGTATCATGTGGTTGTTGCTTAAACGACCGAAACCATGGAGCTTCCACTGGATTGCTTCTTGGGTACGTAACCAACCACATAGAATTAAGCTGCAGCGTTGTTAATTAGTTAAGTTAAGCAATTTGGTTTTATGATTTTGGGTGGTTAATTAATGTGCAGGGGTCGACGATCATTGGAGTACTGATAGCGGTGCTGACGCCCATTGGGGGACTTCGGCAGATTATTCTCTCATTCAAGACCTACAAGATTTTTTCTTAGTGCTTTCGGCTTTTCGTGTATATAGGTTCTTTAATTCTTTCCAATGCTTTTTTTTCTGGGCGGAAATTATTGCTTAGTTGTTTTAGCTCTTTTCCTTGTATTGCTTTTTTCATTCCAGCTTGTTGACTTGTATTTCCTTTTTCCAATAAAACTCAAATAAAATATACGAGTCAATATACAATCTCTCTTCCTTTATTTCTGGTATCTCTTCTGATTTTATTATCATTATTATTATTTGAGATGTTCTGAGTTATTTATTAACTTTAGTAACTTTGGTAGCTTATTTTGATACATTGAGTTAAAAATAGTTCAAATATATATATATATATAGAATTGTAAATAATAATGTAAGTAGCTATTAAGTTGATAAAAAACGTGTACAATACAATACCCATATAAACAATTCCATCGTAAATAAAATATTCATTTTCTCAATTTACCCATAAATAAATATTATATTGATCGGTACTATTTTCTCAATTATTTTTGGTGCCATGTTGATTGAATTAGATACAGTATAGATAATTATATTATTTGAATTTTCTATTTAAATTTTGATTTTGAATTATATTAGCATAAATAAGTTATTAAGTTTGTATATATCTCAATTTTGACGAATTCAATGAAGTCCTAAGTCATTTATGTTTTGTCTCTATTTTTTCTCTTTCACCTAAAATGAACAACTTGTACTATTAGAAAAGATATAATTAGGTACAATGCGAATACTTATTACCTCTCAATTAGCATACTAGGATTGAACAATTATTAATTGAATAGTTAGTAATAGTACAAATTGAATGTTTGTTCGATAAGTTAAAAAAAAAGTCAAATGTTCAACTATTTATCTGTGCCACAGATCTATCACAAAACTGTCTAAAGATTGACTAATTAAGTTGAATGGTCGGTAGACACTACTTATATCTCTTTAAAAGATGAAAATTCCAACATATACCTTGTGTTGAGTATAATAAAAAGAGAGATAATTGATCAATAGTTGACTATTTACTTTATGAGATTATAAATATTTTTTTTGGAAATATAAACGGTAGTTCAAACATTTTTAAAGGCTAGAATTACTGTTCTAAAATGTTGCCAATACATCAAATATGAGATATGGAGATTTAAATATTTAAGGAGTGCATGCACTTTTTATGAATGAACTATGCTTGTGTTAACAGGTCCACAATGAAAAAAGCTAATTTTGTCCATATTTAATACACAAATATGTACGGGTGAGAATTAGAGCCCATGACTTTTTGGTTTGGATGGATGTCCAACCATGCTCAAGTACGTTGACCACTCAAATATAGTTTAATGGTTAAAAATATTGATATTAAGCCTATTTTTCTTAAACAATGTATTAAACAGTTCATGTATTTTCATTATTGTTTAATATACGTTTTAGGTATAGTTAAAAGCTGAATATTTAGTTCAACACAAAATACTATTAATTATAATTTTGTAGAATTATTATTTTATAATATTATATAATTTATAATATATTTTATTTTACATATTCTAATTAAAAAATGAAATAAGTTTATTACATAATAAGTTTATTTATTTTTTATATTTTTCAATCTAATTCTAACTTTTAAAATTTAAAATTTAAAAACACGAAAAATTATTTTTAGACTTTCCAGTATTTAAATAATAGGTTTTAAAAATAGTTCTAAAAAACAATTATATCATATTCACGGAATTAATTAAAGAAAAAAGCAAATAAACAAATAAACAAACGAACAGAATCCTGATAAACCGCATTTCGAAGCCAAGCAAGGCTAGGTTCCAGTTTGTTTGAGCCTTAACCAATTAGAATGTCATCGTTTTCTCTCACTACCCCATATTCCACTCTCCACTGCTCTACGATCGTACGCGCCGAACGGAGCTTCAACGAAGCAACCACATCCGTCCTACAAAATCGGAATCTCTTTCCGATTTCTACAAAATTGTTGAGAATTTCTTCACGCAGACGCAGGTTTCACGTGAACTCTGTTCACTCAGACGCCGAAACTGAAGAACCTCGAACTCAGTATTCGCGCGAAAAGAATGCAGTTTCGAGCGGTGGAAGCAGCCTTTCTACAAGTTTTCTATCTTATCTCTGCCCCTTGCTCAAGCTTTTCGCTGTGAGTGAATATATATAAATTTTCACGTTTTTACGGTTTTCAGTTGGCGCTTCTGATGAAGTTGTGTTCATAACTGGATATTGTATATCGACAGATTTGAAGAACTGTCACGTATTACTTCTACTCTTCATTTGATTCTTACAGTCCAGAGAGCGGGATCCAAAATCCTTTTCTCTCATTTCCTTTAATCTTACCTCCTCATGTTATTACTTTTCATTTTGATTAATTTGTTTATTTTTATTGTAGGGAGGAGATCCTTCGGGAGAAAGGAATTTTACTTTGGAGGCAATAATCTTTCGTTCTTTATTTCATTAATAACCAGCTCTCTGGATTGTTTTTCGCGACCAATGTGTGTCTTTATTTTAGTGTTTCATCCGGTCATTTTTTCAATCATTATTGATTAGGTTGTTCTACAATACGCAATTTCGGTCTGGAACATATTTAGACAGATATAGTTCTAGTTATGTTGCTAAGTTTGTATATTAAATCAATGCAAAAAGTAGAACCGACAATTGAGCACGGTAGACCTACGACTACTTTCTGAATGTTCGTTACATAATCGCACAGAGATGATATCCTGATATACACACATGATACATAGGATTAACAATATGTATATGTAGCCTGTTTGCACTGTAATATTCTTCCAACGTGCTTACATTATTTTCTGTCATTGGAATGTCAAGCTTTACCAAACGCTCTAGATTCTAGCATCTCTAAAACTGTAACCTAGTAACAAACAACATGTTTAAGTTTCTGTTTGAAAGTCAATGGCAGAAAAAGTTGCTTGGGGGCTAAACTGATGTCTTCGTATCTGCTAAAAACTATCCAGAAAGTGGAAAATAGGAGCTGTTTGAGAAATTGTTATTAAAAAAAAAAAAAAGAACTGTAACCTAGGAACAAACAACATGTTTAAGGTAAAACAAATATTTATTTGGTCAGGAAAGTGCTCATATTTTTTCCACCTTATTTGTTGCTGTAAGCGTTTGCCTGCATTCTCAATCATGCAACTTCGTATAGCTTGCTAGTAACCTCTTATCCTTCTATGACGTCTCCCATCTTGTTGCTAAAGAGCAGGTAGCCACATCTTCCTTATCTACATTGGCAAGACTTCCGTGGGGCTCAAGAACAGTGTCGGATAATTCTCGCAGCACCACTAGGAATACTAATTTGGGACCTCTGTTGCCTTTGCAACTCTATGAATTTGGTAACGTCTCTTCCTGATTGTGCAGCTATCTTATGTTGGAAGCAAAATAACATTATCTTCTTGTATCTCGGGGTTTAATCTGTATGGAATTCAGTGTTAATAGAAAATGAAATATTGAAATATATTTTGCGCATGGAGGAGAAGGATTCTTATGGAGTTTACAAGGAAGGTATCAAGAAACAAACTGGCTTATTGAATTGGTCATAATAAGGAATGGAGTTTTGAATGGGTCCGCAGTGGGTCTGGAGTTTTCTTCCTTTTGTATGGGTCTGCAGTGGTGTGTTCTCTGTAGGAATGCCTCGGAAGATCTCGACCACTTACTGTGGACCTGCCAGTTTGCTCAGAATATTTGGCTTCGGTTCTTTAGATGTTTCGAGTTGGCGTGGGCCTGTTCTAGAGAGTGGAGGACGTTGATGGAGGAGGTGCTGCTGGCCCTCCTTTTCGGGACAAGGGGTCTTTTTTTGTGGTAGGGTTGTTTTCTGGCTATTTTATGGGGTATTTGGTTAGAGAGGAACAGTAGACTGAGGTGGTGGAGAGATCGGAGGATTATGTTTGGGAACTTATTTGATATAATACTTCCTTATGGGGTTCGGTCACTAAGGCCTTTTGTAATTATCAGTTAGGCCTCATTCTTTTGGATTGGAGTCTTTTTCTATAGGGGGCTCGCTTTTTCTGGGCTGTCTTTTTGTATACCCGTGTTGTTCTTTTGTAACTATTTTCATTTTTCTCAATGAAAGTGTTGTTTCTCATTGAAAAAAAAAAAAGAAAAAAAAGGAATGAAGTTTTGAAGATTATACTGTCCTGGTTTTCTATTAAGAACTTGTGCAATAAGCTACTCCAAGTTTTTCCTGGAGTATGTTATTTTTAGCTTTTGAGTAGGCAGTATTTACCAAGTTTTGTCATTTCAAATATTATTTGTCAGCAGAGGCATGCCCCTTTTGCAGGAGGGTTCGTGAGGCCTTGACTGAACTGGATCTTGCAGTAGAGGTATGAAATGAATTTGGTTTACTTATTTATTGTTGTATCAATATCCCATATATAAGTATAATTTAAAATTTGAGCTGTTAACTTTATGCATCTCTGGTTTATTTTAGACTTTAAATCATCCTGGTACCTAAAAGGGATTTATTTCACGCAAATGGATTTTATTGGAAATGATTTTTAAAAAAACTCTTGACTAGGTATCTAGCTTTTACTTTGTCTTAAATGAATGAAAAACTTGGTTTTGATTGCTTCCTGTAGCTCTATGACGAATTTATTTCTGTACGAAATTTCCCTATTTCCACCTGCAACAACCGGCTTTCTGATTTTCTAAAAGAAGTTCCTAATTCCTATCACTGATGTTTTATATGTAGTGTGACCATCTGATTCAATCCAATGTGAGAAGGATACATGGCTGCATATTTTCCTGTCTATACTGCTAGCAGCTATATAATGTTATACAATATTTTCCTAGCCATGATTGTCCAAGAATGGAAGGCTACACTGTACTAGCTCTTTTTGGAGGAGGGGGTTCTCTCTTCCTGGCCCTTAGGTTGTCTCTTTCTTTAGTTCCATACATCCTTTGTTTCATATAAAAAAAAAAAAACAATTTTCTTTGACTGAGAATAAATATCCAAGAATTTCAGGAAACTGGCATTTTAGTTAGTTTTCTCTATTAGAAGGAACACATTTATTTTCTTTCGAGATACTTCAACATAACTGTCTTATAGCAGGCTTTTCCTCCTCCTCCTCTCTCTCTCTCTCTCTCTCTCCTTTTTTCTGTTTAAACGTGAAAGCACTATGGTTCAATGCTGTTGAAGATATGTTTGCCTGAACTGTCTTATTATAATTATTAGGTGGAATTTCTATAGACTAATTTATTCGTGATGGAAGCTTCTACTTCTCTGATCATTTGTGGGGCCTGTGAGCTATACCTTCTTATTAAATTTTCAATTTTAAATCCTAAGTCAAAACAAAATTGCCGGGGATGAGATGTTAGTATATATGACATCATATCTTTCCAAATCAATCTCTGTATTTATTATTAGGTCAAAATTCAAATTAAGGAAAGAATGAGCTTTAATTGATTTCAAAACATTGATTCCTGTAAAATTATCACATTTTGTTTGCTTCAAATATTTAGTCCACAGTTAATGCTTTGCATCAAAGAGTAGCTCAATATATTAGCTGCTCCAAACTTACTAGCCTATTCTGCAGGTTTATCCTTGTCCTAAGGGTTCCATTCGACATCGGGACATAGTTAAGAAATGTGGTGGCAAAGAGCAGTATGTGGTTCTTTCTATTTAGTCCACATTTCAGTTTATTCAAGAAAATTTTAAGGTGCCATGGAGTTAAAAGTTCTGTTTCTCTACTGGTAAAAGAAAACAAATCCTTACCTAATTAAATCAAAATTAACATATAACTAATCAGTACAAATTCATATCGATTTGTTACCATAAAAAAATGTCGAGGAAAATTGAAGTACATGATAAAGTCTTGTCCTGTACACCTCCATCATTGATATGATTTATGGTATCACGTAACAAATGGAGGTATTTAATAAAAAGTATATTAAAATGTTTAATATAAAAGTTGTTAATGTCTATTTCTTCCCGACATACTAATATATAGTTTCTAAGAAACTGCCTCGAATTAGCCAAATGTTCAAAGGATAAGTTGTAAACTCAAATGCCTTTAAAGTCATGAGTACACTATAGTAGCTATCTAACTAGAGTATTAGCAATGCTATGAGTTTTCTAATATGTGCGTTGAATGGTGAAACAATTGTTCTATCTGACTAGTCGAGATGTGTGTTGTTGGTTAGGACACTTTCAGTTATAAAATATAGCTTTTTAAAAATTTCACTTCATGTACTTAGTTAAGATTTATAAATGCAGGTTTCCGTTCCTTACCGATCCAAATACTGGTACTTCAATGTATGAAAGTGGTAAGTGATGAAGCTTCCTATCGATATGGTATCCACATTCCTTTACTTTTCTTATCCTTTATTGCTTTAATTCACGTTTTTTATTGTGATTGTTATTGTTTGGCGTGGGTGGATTGGTGTATATCAACTTGTGCGTTCTGAATTCTGAGTCTTAATTTTGCAACAATGGGGCTTATCCACAATTTCTTTCTACTGTATAATTACCATAAGGAATAGAAAGTTGTTATCATATCCGCTTTCATCCATTTATAAGTTCCATGTGAGTATCCAGTGTTTTTAAACATTATTTACAACTTTTTGCATTTCTATGGAGTATGTGTGAATGGAGTGGGGGGATGCTGTGGAGTTTGGAGAAAAGATTACAATCCACTTTCACCGGATAAATTTATCATTTTTAATGAACCAAAACTGTTCTTTAAAGATGGATAGGTACGAAGGGGAAGATAAGGTATCCTCCCATTCAAGGCTAAATGAGATACAAAATCTCTCAATTAGATAAAATAACGATAGTTACAAAAAGCTTTGGATAGGACACTGCAAGAGGAGGCTTTAAAAGACATGAGACCTCAAGTTCACATAGTTTTTTCCCATTATTCGTTCTCCACCTTCAAATAAGAAACAAGAAACGAGACATCATGTTATGTTGGAAAAGAAGGGCACACATGACAAGGATATGGATCATCTTCAAAAAATAATTGCAAGAAAGAACGATTATTTGTGATACAGGCTGAAAAAAGATGATGTGATACGAGTAGCTGCTGCTTCTTTCAGTAGCTTAACGTCTTTTGATAACAGCTTCTTATTTTTCTTCTTTGCCTGTGATGTAATAAATCAAAACTCGCAAGAATCAAGAAGCTATTATGCATTTAAAAACTGAAACATGAAGAAATTTTCAGATTCCATTTATGCAATTTCTGATTAGTGTTATTTATTTATTTATTTGCTGCATTTTTATTTGGAGCGGGAATGATAGGCATTCTTCTTAAACTCGTTCGAGGTGCAATAGAAAGTTATGAAATGAAATATCTGACCTGTATTTGGTTGATAAATGGTGATATCCAGTGAGATTAAAAAATCCACTGAAAGCGATATGTGCTGTTATGTGCTGTTGTTTTAAATTCTTAATTTTTAGAAATTTAGTTGTAACTGGTTTGGACTTAATTAGTGGACCTGTAAATTTAAGCATTTAAACTTTTAGGTACCAAGCTAGTTGAGAACAGTCATCTTATTGATGAATCATAATAATATAGGTTTTAATTCAAGTCTAACTGCTAATGCTGACAGTTCAAGTTATCTGGTAAAATTTCCGGAACTATAGTTTTATGGTACTTTGTATTTTCATTGACACAGATCTTATATAGAATCACCAGCAGTTACAATAATAGTTGTTCCGATGACATCGTTCTAATATTATATTGCAAAATTAATGAAAAAGGGTAGAAAATGGATACTTAGTTCAATGTATTAGAAAAGTGGAACAAACTGGACCAGAATTTGTATAAGATTCAGTGTTTACTTTGTATTACATCAAGTAATAGTTGTTAAGATAATTTGGACTTTCAAAATATTCTTTCGTTTTCCTTGTTGTCTTGCACTTTCGTTGGCCAGCTTCTGTGCTATTTGATTGTTCTATAAAATTCACGTGTTCTCTATTTACTCATAGGTGATATCGTGAAATACCTCTTTCAGCAGTATGGAAATGGTAGAAACCCCTCAACAGGGCTTCTAGCAAGGTAATTGGACGTCTGAACTTTCTTGTTATTGAGATTGTTATAGTTTTCTGGGAGAATAAGTTTGAGAGTTGATTGAACTGATAATTTGTACTTATTAAATTTATGTTGCATTTAAAATAGGTTTATCCAAGATAGGCATGGGTAATTAATTATGTTCTTAACCTAATTACCAGTATGAATATGTTTATACCAACACCAATGCATTGGATCCAAACATTGTAGTTCAGTGCGTTTTAGATAAAGTAGTATTAAGTTGGGAAGTTTGTGACTCCTTAATAACAAGCAAAATTAATTTAGTTGTACTATCTGCAGCGTTTTTTTTTTGGACAGTTATTAAACCAAATTGATGTTGAACTGGTGAAGCTGCACTTAGTTCTTTGTGTTGTGTACATAGCAGTATATTGAAACGAATCAGACGTACCCCAACTGAAAGAGATTGCAATATAGCCCTTTTTGCTTTAAGAAGAAACTGTGTCTTAAGAGTTAAGTCCATGTTGGTTCTCACAATCTTCAACAGAGGTTTCCACTATAACGGATGTTGTGTGCGGTGTGCATATCAATGCATAGGGAACTTCAATGCTGGAATTTTTCTTTCTTCCTCCCTTTTTTTAAATTTTTAGTTGAAACTATTCAGTCCCTTTCCTCCGTGATCTAAATATTTGTTTATGCAGTACATTGTTCACGGGGTGGGTGCCAACAATTCTTAGGGCTGGTAGAGGAATGACGTTGTGGGGAAAGGCTGCACCAGACCCACCGCCCAAAAAATTGGAACTTTTCTCATATGAAAACAATCCGGTACGATGATTAGCTATCCTCCATTAATGCATATGCCTGTAGTGTGTTTACCTACCTTCTCAAGTTCATCTACGACCTCAGTAAATTTACATTAGCTTTGATCATTATTGTAATGCTTAACAGTAGGTTGTGGGGATATCACCTGTTGTTAGCAGCTAAATTACTCTGTTTTATTGTTACCTCTGTCAGCTTGCTTAGTCCGGTGGTTTGTTTTTGGTAGTTAGGGTCTGTTAGATTGGAAATTGGCAACTGAATAATAGTTGGTTGTGTTAGTACTGTATTAATATTGCATAAATATGCTGAGTATCCAGATTAGTAGCATGGATATTTTCCATTCTCAAACTGCAGGATTGAATCAGATTATTTGTATATATAATTTTTCCAATCTTTTTATACTTTTTTCTGATTATATTTTGGTTGAAGAATGTCAATGGATCAATAAACGTTCTCAAATATTTAGTGTATATACTCTAATATATTGTAGTGTTTTGTAACAATTTTGATATATTGAGGTAAATTACATACTGCTTAACTTTCCAGTATGCTCGAATTGTGCGCGAGGCATTATGTGAGTTGGAGCTTCCTTACATCCTCCATAATGTGGGACGAGGATCTTTACGGACAAAGTTACTCCTTGACGTTTCCGGATCTAAAGAGGTTCGCTACTGACTACACTACCCACGTTACTATGATTGTTATGGATTCTGTCTGAATGAATTTCTGCATGTTCTTCAGGTTATTGTTTAGGAGTAAAATTGGCATCTTTTCCTTAATATATTGTGAAGATTTCATAAATAAGGAGTGCATGAGCATATGTGGCTCACATACGTGTGACCTTTGCCTAAAATTGCATAGAAGTAGAGCATGAGCATGTGGACCTCATGAGAGTAAATATTATTTCCCATCTATTGTCAAAATTGCTTGAAGAGAGCATGAAAATTGCATGGATCATCCCTTGAGGTGTCTATTTTAACTTTATAGTTATTTTCGTTTTCTATAAGATAATTAACATATCAAGCATTACGGCTTCTTCCTTTTTAATTTCTTTCTGTGATTTTTTTTTTTTTGGTTGGTGAAACAAAACTGTGTTAAAAGTTACAATCATCATTAAATAGTTACATCCCTTGAAAAATAAGTAAGGCGACCCCAAGAACCAAAAGATGAAAATGCAGAATCCATCTCCCAACACGAGAACTGAAAGATGATGGAAGACAGTAGTTCTTCGTTCCCTAAGAATTCACTTACCTTCAAGTTCAAGCGAACCTTCCTCCTAGAAGAAGCTTTAGAAATACCAAAAACGACGACTCTTCTCTTTGCTGCCAAAAAATATCTCCACTTTACACCAGCATTGTGTAGTCTAGATTTGGCTAAAAACCCCCCCAAAAAAGCCTCGAAAGCCAAGTAAAAACCCCTTAATACACGTTAACACCATACTAGACAAACTAGATTTGTTAAGGTGAGTGTTTCATCTCTTCATTATCAACTATCGTTTATCTTGGAACTTGCACCTCATTAACATTCAATTTTAGCTTTTCCAGCTTACTCCCTGTTCCCACCGCTTTAAAATTTAAGTTTTTCAACAATATTAAAGAATTATTTATGAATGAAAATTTATAGGGTAAATGGAAAGAGCAGGCACCTCTGAGTATTAGAAAATTTCCACCAACCGCGTTTTTAACTTTTTCCTTCAAACTTCCTTTTTTAAATGCTCGAGAGACTTTATTTATTGTGAAGCTATCTAACTATTTAATAGCTTCTTAAAGATTTTCCCCTTTCTCCCACTTCCCGCCCTCTCTTCTCTTGTAATTAACACCACCTCTTACCTCCTCAATCTTCCTGTTTTTACACATTAAATTCCTTCTCGTTTTTTTTTTGCTCCTTTTCATTAAAGCCTCCATTTATTTTGTTTTCCAAGAACCCGTTTTCTTCAATATTCAACTTTCCAGTCATGCAATCAATGCCTTCTTTTGGACAAATCACAACTAACCGCCCGTTAATATCCTTTCCAATTTTTTTAATGTGTTTATATTTGCCCTCCAGCATTGCCAAATCGCTTTTGATTTTCTCTTTTGTCTTCCATATTCATCGTTCTTAATGGCTCATTTTCTGAGTTTCTTCCCAAACGAAGAGCATCCATGGTGAGGATTTTTTGTGAAAATTTGAGGTTGCTTCGTCATAAAGATTTCCATGAACAATAAATACATGAGTACTTTCAAGAAATACATAAATATCTCAAAACCAAATAGTTTTGAGTCTAGCAGATGTTGCAAAATCTCCACTTAGAAATATTGAAGATAATACTTCCATTGCTCTTATGCTGAATGATGTCTGTTGTCTTTGTTTCAATCGTTTATATATATTGCTCATTGATTATTACCTTCCTTATCTGTGCTATTAATAAATATCTAAATCATAACAGGTACCTTATTTTGTCGATCCCAATACTGGTATTGAAACTGGCAACTACAAGATGATTTTGTCTTATCTATTCCAGACGTATTCTGCAGCCACCCTGTAATTTTGGTTTCTGATACCAATAGAAGTCTTTGCTAAACATGCTTCTATATAGTCGCAAAGGTCTTTTTGTACAAGAAGAAAAAAACCACATGATACTCCTTTAGTAGCTAAGGTGTTCTGGCCTATTTTATCCTTAAAATTGTTGTGCCTTTCTAAATCCCTATTGATGAATAAGTCTAATCAGTTATTAGATTACATGATCAACAAAAGAACTTTGATGCTAGATAGACCATACCACCATTAAGATGCTACTACCGAAGGAATTCTGAAGACGAGAATTTGGAGTGACCATTTATACTTGCTGCTAATATACTATAATCAGCTCGTATTACATTTTAATGAAACAATACATTCTTTTCAATATTAAATTACTTCTTTGGCGAGCGTGTCATGAGCTGATTGCTAATGCCGGGAAGGCTAGATGATTGCGCCTAACCTCAACGAATTTCTGATGATATTGCTGAAATTTGCCTGCTTCGATTGCTTCCCTGATTGATCGAAAGAATCCTAAATAATGATGAGTATTATGACTGCAATAAGATGAGAAGAATTAGTATGAGAATGAAAATCGAGACCGAACCCAAGTGTTTTTTGAGAACTGAAATGTTCATACATCTCCAGCAGTATCTGAGCCAGCATTTCATGAACATTTAGTAAGTGATTTATATAAGCCTTCGTATGGTTTAGGCAAGTATAGCAGTCACAGCCCTCAAGGATTGGTGATGTATCTTTCCTGAACGAATTCGGATCCATGATTCGATAATAACATAAAGGAAAAGGAATTAAATATTGGAAAATCAATACTCAAGCAAGAATAGCGATGAAGCACTGGCAAAATTACCGATAAAGTGTTGCTCTTAGGTTGATCTTTGTCAGATCACTTCCATTATCGTTAAGGTGCAGATCAGGCACTTTCTCCACAATTCCATTAAGTGGGAAGGTGAGAGCAAAGCCTCCAATAGTTAAATGATATATGTACCTGCAACACATTTATGCAACTATTTAGATAGTATAATCAGCAATGAAAATCACTGATGGACAAACTACAGTTAAAATGGATAACGTACGCAGAGTCAAAGAGATCGACTCCAGCAGCAATACCCTGCAAGATCTCCTCTGCAAGATCAAATCAGAGGTATATCAAAATAAAATTTTGTTTGTGACGAGAATCTATTCAGAGTAAAAACCTCTGCATACATCAAAGGGTGGAGGCACAACAAGATTATTTGAACGGTAACCCAATCACTAATTTGTTCATTGGCCAACCAGCATCATATCAGGCGTATTACCTCACCTCACAAGTTGAGTTCTATAGTTTGTGATTGACAAATCATGCGTATTTAATTGATTTAAGCGATGGATTTACTAACCATATAAACTCAAACCATATAGATTCAAGTTTCATGCATGTGACTACACTAATTTTATTGAATAAGAAAGGATTGCAAAAAGGTCTTTCAGGTGGCACAGAGAACTCAAACTATAATTACAAAAAAGATCATACAGTTTACACTACTAAGTAAGAGCGACAACAATCTCCGAAACCAAACTTCTTAGTCACAAGCTACACAAATCTAAGCCAGCAGAAACCATGAACCAATTATACCTTTAAAAGTTTAGGTCCCATTAAAATATTAAAAATATATTTATTAAATAAACTCTTTTACATCTAATAACTGAAATGACCCATTCTATTCTTTAAGGGAAAGAAGATGCGCCACTATAAGAGGCTAGTTAAGAAATCAGGGTATAATCAATTTTCAGCTTCCATAGGCCGGACACAGAAATCCAACCGAAAGTCAAGACACAACATATACTTCAAGCGACTCAGAACTAAAAGATTGAAAAACTATACCTGGAAGTCCAAGCCCACAGATCATGCGTGGCATTTCCTCTGGTAAAATACCCTGTTCAAGCAATGAAAGAATTGCTAGAAATACATTTCCTTATCAAAAAATAATAACTTCGATATGGTTTACAATACTGATGCTGCAAAAACTCATGAAAGAGAATGTATAACAAAAGTGGTGAGGACGTCTCTAGTGATTTGACGAGGCAACATATCTTGGATATAGAGCTACTTAGAACACAGAAAGTAAAGACAATAAAAGGAGAAAAAAATTAAGGAAACTGAAGGGAAGTTATGGGGAGAAACATAGAGCAAATCATTGAACAAAATTGCTAAGCATGGTTTTTTTATTCAGATCACAGTGCAGTGCAGTACTCTTAATCACAATTCTAATCAACCTTGATAGAGAACATTATGTAATTTTCTATTTCCTATTTTGTTTTTATATAGGAAAAAACTTGTCAAGGGATAAGAAAGTAAAGAGAATGGAAATAACTTCAAACAAAGTGGCGACTGGCAAACAAGAGCAAGCTCCAAACAAATTGATCTCGCCCCAAAGAGAGAAACTGGTGCTACTCTTCGTTTTTATGTAGGAAAAGAATTCATCAAGGAACATGAAACTAAAGAGAATATATCATTGTGCAATTCCCTTTAATTAAAAATCTCATCTACCTTGATTTGCTACATTATCTAATTATTTTCCCTTTTTGTCTTCGTAGAGGAAAAACATATCATCCAGGCCTACGAAATAAACAGAATAGAATGACTTCAAACAAGGCAGCAAACAAGAGCAAGCTCCAACAAATAGGCCTGCAGTCCAAAGAGAGACTATACAAACAAATCCAACTTGCTACTGTTGAGATTCAAAGTTCAGCTCATTAGCTACTATGGCTCACAGGCAAAACATCCACATTCTGACTTGGTGAAAGAAAAGAAAAGAAGGGTGATACTCCAAAAAACAAACTTAACAACACAATAAGCCAAATCCTTACCGTGACAGCATCAAGAAGAGCAGGACGCTCATCCATGCTCTCTCCAAGCCCAAATCCTCCAATCCAGTAACCTACCAAAAAAATTTTTGTTGGTTCAAACTGAGAAATTATACCAGAAAGTTGGAAGCCAAGATATGAATGATAAATAGAACTAAAAATAATAATATTGATTATTGAGAAATATTTTTTAAGGAAGACAGGAGAAATAATCTTTCCTTCCATACTCTATAAGGTATTATGATAAGAAGGAACACAAATATTGGCAATTCTATTCAAAATTTTATTTGTAATGCTAATGATTTATAAACTTTGTGTCTAAAAACATGATACAAAATAGATGTTAATAACTTTGATAGCCAAGGCAAATCTTGGGAGAAGCTAGAAATTTATATTACTCAGAATCAGTTCTCCGAACATGGAGTCTTTAACTTATTACCACTATTTCACCCTTAAATAACAAAGGACGAGTTATTGAACCTGATACATTACGCTTAATCACCTCCGCAGCACATCTTTGGCGTTCTTCTACATCATTGCCTCCCACAATAGCTCCAAAAACAGCCCCACCTGTCTTCATTATAATAAATAAATTTCTTGTTTCATGCATGACATCATAGGTAAAAATGAAATATACAAAGTACCAAACCTAGACGTACTTTAAAAAACTAAATGTTATCATTGATCATGACAGGGTTACCACCATTGCTTTTGAATCGATGAAAATATACAAGATAACAGTAGTATGACTTGAGGTGCCCTGTCTTAAAAGTATCTCAGACGAAAAATTTAAACACAGCATTTTCTTATCCCACTGCATGTGTAATAGGCCAGTACTTCTGATTTAGAGGGCTGAAAGCCATTAGAAAGATACTCAAAACTCGGAAGTCTCAAACAACCATCTCATGACATAATATTAGATGTGGATACAACTAATACAATAAATGGGTCATTCTAGCATTCTTACTGAGTTCGAAGTGATGCATTCATCAAGCCATTTCACAGTTCGATCCACTGATGTTTTATTTCTTTTATCTGAAACCCATGATGGCACCTCATCAGCCAAGGAGGCCCAAATGTCTGGTCTCAAGGATGAAATCATTTCAATGTATTCAACAGGTCTAATCTACAATTGCAAAGAGAATTTAGAAACTTGCTTCCCAAACCAGATAATAATGGAAGGGATAGCAAAAGTTGATATGAAAAGAAACAATGAGAATCCATTACCAAACGACGACCACAAGTAGTCTCAAAAGATGCTCCAAATTTATTGGCAGCGTCACATTCTGGAAGGCACCAAACAGAGTCCCTTGCTACTGCTGCAAATCCATATTCATGTAAACCAAGTAAATGTTGCAGTCCTCCTATACTTGATATTGTTTTCGAGGAAGGGCCTTCCAAGCTAAGATTTAAACGATAAAAAAGTCAATGTGACTAACAGTAGACAAATAATCAATTAAAAACAACTATTTTCATGTGATAGTTGAAACATTTTCTTTCGTTTTTTCCATTGTTATGTCTAGAGTAACAGTGAAATAAAGCCACTTTTTAATACAAGATGACAATATAAGCAGAGACAAGACAGCTGTAACAGAAGCATAAAATGTATATAAAGAGAACTGCCACTAACAACGAGAAACAACGTACATGATCATGAATTGATATACCAGTACAAAAAAATAACTCATTTTAAAATTCTAGAGAGAGAATCAAATATTCAATACAGCATGTCGTGTACGAGTTAAAATTTTATTTTATTATGAATGTTAAATCAATGACCAAAAACAGATAAAAAGTAATGGCTTACAAAATTTACTCGAAGGTTGTTTGCTGGATACAAAAGCTTATAAAGAATCCATAGATAAACAATTCCGGTACATCCTAGGGCACGAGTCACGAAACCATAAATTAGTCGTTGCTTCCTAAACGTAACTATTCATTCATTTTAGAGCCACCACGATACAGTTCTCATTTCAATTTCCATGATCACAAATTCTGCATCCACCGCCAGTAACTGTAGCATGCAAAAACATCCTTTCCTACACAGAGTACTATTACGGCAATCACCAAGACACATTCCTTTTGGGTTTTGAAATCCGAAATATTTCAAAAAAGCACCACACGGTTATCACTAAGTATGAACTTCTTGTGATAGTAGATAGTTTTTGGTTCTCGAGTAGTCCTCGCAGAGACAAAAAGTCCTAAGGAATGAGAGAACGAATAAATGAAAATAAAATCCATGCAACAAACTAGAGCAGTCTCTCCTGCAGTGGCGCTCCAATTGAGGAACACGCGATCACTACATCAGACGCAAACGGAATAAAAAGGAAAAGATGAAATGGAGCAATACTTACAAGTGAAGAGGACTGAATTGGAGGAGATGAGAATCAGGGGAGGGGAGAGAGGGAAGAAGATCAGGAGAGATGAAATTGAGCAGTCCTTTACGAGTAGAGAGAAGTAATGCAGGAGTTTCTATGGCGGTAGGGCAGTTGCCGAGCTGTAGAACACCGGTGCGCGCCTTGCCGTTGCTCCATGCCTTGACCGCGAATTTCATTCTCTCAGCGCGAAGGAGGGATTCCTCTTCCTCTTCTTCAACAGACAGACGCGTGTGGCGCCACAATCTGTTTGAATACTGAGGGTTTTAAGATATGGACGCGACTTCGACTTCAACCCTAGTAGCCTCCCTTTTCTTTTCTTTTCTTTTTCATTTCTTTTTATAAAATTTTAAGTTTTTGTTCTTTAATTTATGGACATTTGCAAATATGACCAAACATTCAGTAAAATTAGCAAACAGCAATCCCATTTAATTTTTTCAAATATAGCACTCTAAACAAAAATGGAGCTCAAATGTTAAAATGACTACTTTTCCCAAATGATATATATTTGTAATATATTTTGACTACTAATATATGTATGGGATATACCTCTGATATACGATTGATATGAGTGAAAATTATACTATATTTGAAAATTTAAAAAAAATGTGACATATTTTGAAATACATAAAAAAAATTTGCTGCAATTTTCCTTAATGAAAATTTTTGGTATTATCTTTTGAAATAAATTATTTTTTAGAAATAATTATTATCTAAAAATTTAGAGACAAAATCATAAACATCATATTTTAAAACACAGGTGGAAGCCACTCGACCTTTCCCGCAAATGAGTGCTAAATGCAAGCAACAGCAAAACAAAGCTTTTTGGATCATTGATTTATTATTAAGCAACAACCCAAGACACATAGGCATAATTGATCTCACCGAATCTCCAACCACACCACGTTTCCATCTTCCATTTTTTGTATTAGCAATTTTGCCCCACCAAACAAGTGACAACACAAATAAAATAAAATGATTCCAATTTCACTTTCATTCTATAAGCATATAAATATTATTATTAAGATTGTAATATGCCCTCCCTTCCCAGAAACAAGATTTTAGTAGGGAGCTATTTAGCAGGTCCACCAACTCTGTAAAATTTTCCACCAAACCAACAGTACACTCCTGTCCTAACCACCACCTTGTCAACATCTCTCCTTTGCTTCAACTCTACTTTTGTAATTCTTCCACTGCAATTTTGTGTTGTCATAAATGCCTCAGATTGAATTGAATTGAATGCAATGCCGTAGCTCTTCCATCGGCGGCATTGCACAATATCTTCAGCCCAGCAAAGCGAAGTAACAATGAGCAGCAGGTCCAGAGCCCCACTCTCCATTAATCTTAAGCTCATTCTTCTTCTATTTCTCTTTCTTTCCATCCTCTTATTAGTAATTAGGTCGGGTTTTCAATCTTCTCAGCCATCCCCCGTTGCACAAACCCATGTTTCCAATTTGACAGAAGAAGCAGAATCAGCCTGCCCCTCTCTGACTCTTCCCTTCACTCCAAGTTGCACAAAAACCCCGCCTTCTTTGGCCAACGCTCTCATCCACTACGCAACCACCAACATAACCCCCCAGCAAACCCTCAACGAAATCTCGGTGTCCGCCACAATCCTGCAAAGAAAGTCCCCCTGCAACTTCCTGGTTTTCGGGCTGGGCCACGACAGCCTCATGTGGACGGCTCTCAACCATGGAGGCCGCACAGTCTTTCTGGAAGAAGACGAGGCATGGATCCACCAAATACAGCAGCGGTTGCCCTCGCTGGAAGCTTATCACGTGCATTACGACACCAAGGTCCATGAGGCGGATGAGCTGATGAAGATGGGAATGGAAGAAGAGTGCCGGGCGGTGGGAGACCCAAGATTTTCCAAGTGCCAGCTCGCGCTCAAAAGGTTCCCAAGCGAAGTTTACGACATGGAATGGGACTTGATTATGGTGGATGCGCCCACTGGGTACTTCAACGAGGCCCCCGGAAGGATGAGCGCAATCTACACGGCTGGCCTCATGGCCAGGAACAGAGTGGAGGGTGACACTGATGTGTTTGTTCATGACGTGGACAGAGTGGTGGAGGACAAATTCTCCATGGCTTTTCTCTGCGAAGGATATCTGAGGGAACAACAGGGGAGGATCAGGCACTTCAACATTCCAAGCCATAGGACTCGCCAGGGCAGACCTTTTTGCCCATAGCCGTATCCCACTTCCCCTGTTTTGGAGATCTCGTTTTTTTTCAATTTTCAATTCAAGGATTATTAATATTTTATCTGTCAAGGAGCTTGTTTATTTTATGCAAAACCATTTTGTCTTTATTGCCATACAGAATAGTAAAAACAGAGAGATTCCTCGTTTTGACCATTGCATACAATACAATACCCCCTGTTCCGAAACTAGTAAATGTACTCTTGCATTGCCTGTTATAAGAAGACATTACATGACAATCATTGTAGGAAACTACAAAGTGATGCAATTTCTTCAAGAAAATTGTGCCATGCATCATCAATGGCGTTGAGGGTTAAAAAGGTAGATGGGTTGGGTCAGAGAGTAGCGAGCTGCTGGAGATTGAAAGGATAAATAACGGATTGGTCGCCATTAAAGGCCCTCCTGGCCATGAGAATGTTAACTGCTTCGGTGGGATGGAAGGCATCCCAAAAGATGTACTGATCTCGATTTGGACAGGGGGTTTGGAAGGGGAGGCACGTGATTTGGCCTCTGTTCCTGCCAATTCCACAGCATCCCCTGTTCACCACGCTCAACCCATAGAATCTAGAGTTGACAAGCAGGTCCTGGAACATGCTTTCTATGTCAATGTAAGTAAATCTTGCCCCTGGAAGGTTGGTATTCAGCTGGTTTATCATCGCCTTCACGTTGACATTGAAAGGTCGAACAAGTTGGTTCACTTCTTCCGAGCAGCTTCCCGTGGCGCTCTGTGCCAAGATGCTTGGAATGCACCCCATGAGCCCCAACCCTGCAATCACAAACCTTCTGCCTCCCAGATTGTAAAGCCTAGTGAGCTGCTGCGAGTACTGGTTCACCAACAGATCCGCGTACTGCTGACCATTATACTGATTCCGGGTGGGGTAATTGGGCATGAGATAGTTGTTAAGGTAGTCGTTGCTCCCCATTCCCACAAAGAATATGCACTGTTCGATGGACTGTTCCACGTTGGCCGCCCCTAGATTGTTACTAACCTGATCGAGCGTGTTCTCAAAGTTCCTGATCTGTTGATTGAAGGGTATGCGGCCCACCTGACGATCCATAATACCAATAATTATTTATTACTAATAAAGATCAGTAAACTGCCAAATAGTGATTCATATATGCATTGCTTACAAAGTTCCTTCCCGTAACATCAAGAATGCCTGCGGCAGCGGATGCATAGTTGACTCCGTGCAGGGACTGGGCTCCCGAAGCTTCAGAGAAGGCGGGAACTAATGGGAGTCCTAGCAGCTCCGCTGCATGCATAAGAAAAAAGAAAGCATTTTGACATCCACATCTTTGCAAGTACTAGTTAGTTTAGTTTACAATATTAGTGATTACTACATGCACATACCTATTTCATCGACCATGGTGTAGCCATTGGAGAAGCGGCCAGTTGGGCCCCCATTGAAATCGATGCCGTAGGGGAAATAGTTGGCTTTGGCGAAAGAAGGAAGATTGTTGTTATTTCCATTGTCAATGAGAGAGTCGCCAAAAACGAACATGGCGGGTACCATCTCCGCCCTTCTCCCCCCATCCCCACCTTGTGCAAATTGGCCAACTGCAGCACCAAAGAGCACCATCCCCATGGCCATAACAACCGCCATGCTGTAACAACAGAACTTGAGATTGCCCATCAACATTCTACTTAATGGGATCCCGATCAGCTTGTTTGAGTGCGTGAATAAGGAGGTCTGGTGGCTGGTATTGATATAGCTGTGAAGGTGAAGGTGAAGGAGTTTAATGGGAAGGGTGAAGGCGGTAGTTGAGAAGGTAATAAATGAATTCATCTGTTCTATTACAATGCAGTAAATGGTGCTCTCCCCAACATTTCCAATTCCCAAGCTCTCTTCCCTTTTGTTTTCAAATAACAACTACATGTATCGGAATACGTCTAACTGACCATGTATAATTAGTGGCATCAATTTTCGCCGCTCTCCCCCAAGTACGTAGTGTTTGTAAGTCAACACTGCGAGTGCGGGCAATAGAGCTACAGGGTTGACTGCCTGCAGCTGCATCATTCCTTTGGGCTTTAGCCACTTTTCTTACTCTTATTATTTATGTTGGGGCGCATCACAACTATCATGTGGATTCAGTAATTTGAGAAGCTGGACCTCATAAATGCGCATGCATGCTTATGTGAGATTTCAACACCACTCTTCCCATGATGGAATGAGTATTTGAAGTGCATCACTTGCAAAAGGATAAGTTTTTCCTTTTCAGGTAAAGTTTAAGGCGGGTTTTAAAATATTTTAACACAGTCAAAATCCTTTTTTTTTTCTTGTCATTTCTAAAATCACATCGTAAAATATTATGGCAGGTTTGAAAATAACTTTCACTGAATCAAAATCACTTTGTTCATTGCTGAAATCACTCACATATAAAATAATAATATTTTTACAATGATACAAAATAATTTAAGAAAATGACAAAATGATCGCTCCCCTCTCTTAGTCATCTGCAAATTTACTCGCCCTTGCACAACTGCCCATATTGATTCAACTTCTAATTATTTTACGCTCGTGCTCGATCAGGCCCACACCCTAATTTTAATAAGGTTAAAATAGTATTTTGATCTGATCGACTGGATTGAGGCTAGGGCTGCTTTATTCCCACTGCGTCCTTCCTTGTGTGTCGGAGATATAAAGCGAGTGCACCGAAAAAGAACTGGAACTATCAATCTGTCTGGCGTTGCCTCGACGACTTTGGCATCAGCTCTCTCTCGTCGGAAGCAGCTCTCTCGAAAGTTCATTTGCCCTCCATCTTAATGGGATTAGTATAATAAATTTTCACTTGAACTACCAAGACTCGAATTTTCTTTTTTATAGTAACACCCTTAACCAATTACGTTTAACATCCCTTTATGGACCTACTTCTAAAAGAATGGAAGAAACAATTGACTCCATTGATGCATTAATGACCCAGTAAAAGGTAAAAGCACGAGATCATCCATATACGCCTAATCTCCCAACAAGTTGCTTAGTTTAGCTGCTCTTCGACTTTCGAGAACAGGGCGTACTAGTTCTTGAGAGCAAAGACTAAAGAACCTACTAAAAAGATAAAGTCCCGGGGACTTGTTCTGAATTAAACAAGGTCAACTACAACAAGATTGGAGGAAACGTGGCATGGGACATTTGTCGGCGGTGGGAGTCTAACATCCAAGCAAGAGGTCAGACCAATCCAATTCACCCTGGTTCGATCCGTCTACTTTTGCGCCATGACAATCTCACTCGAATTACGGGGACCTACACATATTAGTATAGTATATCGAGGTCCCAACCAGAACCACACGTGCAAGTTTCCCTGCTTGTGGCTCATCCATGATTTTCGAGGCGCCGCCTCTGACTCATCATGAGAGAAGGGGCAATTGGTCGAGCATCATTGAGTTACTATATCCCTGGAGCTGACTATTTGAGCAAGTTTTTGTGTTATGTCTAATCAGGTGCATCGCTCACGAGTAAGAGAATCCAAATACGACTCCAGAATGATAGAAGCCTTTAAGCGCAAAGTATCTGCGGATTCTATCTTAATTCATTTTAGTCCACGTACTATGAAAATGTTCATTTAGGTCCTTGCACTTTAAATTTTGGTTCGTTTTAGACCCTATACTTCGAAAATGTTCATTTTTGTCCATATACTTTTAAAAAATTATCATTTTAGTTTCTCTTTGCAAAATTTTAACACAAATTTTAAACATAACGAAAACTCTTTAGTATAAAATAATGTTTATCTTTTAGAAAATATATTAATTTAACATTTTGAAAGCACGGAGACCAAAATGAACCAAAACAAAAAATAAGGGACAAACCTAGTAATATTTGATCGTACATTTGCCACAATAAAAATTGAATATCATGGAGTCGTATTTCGCGGAATCTATCTGTGAATTGAAGGCGCCGCCCCTTTCAATCTAAAGGGAAAAATAAATAAATAAATGAAATGTCTTGCTCTCTATAGATTTATTATGGGCAATCACTGAACAACGCCAGAAGAGATGCGTGAAAGAAACGAGATGATTTTGATTGGTACTCTCGCTAGTCGCTAGGTCTATTTACCATCAATTGGCCCCGATAAATTAAATTTAACCAGACGATACAATGCAGTAGAGCAAATCCACATTGAGGTAAAAAAAAAGTAGGAAGTGGTATAAAAGCAGCGACAGGTTTATTACCGTATTCAATGATGTATGTGCAGTGGCCGAGCAGGAAGACCAAATGCTGCTTGTTAGCAACAATATAGAAAGCGGGTAATGGGCACGGCATGGGAGAAGAGAAGAGTATCTCTAACTTATAATACTACTTGTTTCGTTGAAAACTCAAACTTGCTTTTCACTTAATACGATATACGTTCCTCGTTGCAATAGAGGAAGCAGTTTCTACGAATACATCTTAATTTGGGCAAAAACGCATACACCTGCATAAGGATAAAAGACCCGAGGCTTTTCTCTTTTGGTGACTAAGTACTTCACATAGCTTATGATCTCATCACTTACGAATATTGATTCTCATTCCAGCTCTAGATAGAGATATCGCTCAGTGATTAGCGACAATATGACAATGAAATGAAGTGTATTGTTCAGTTGTTAACCACTTCATCTAAAGGTTCTACTTCAAACTAACGCACTCATATGGGCGTAACGTGGAATACTAGAGCTTACCTTACGACGAGGCAGGAAGGAGTTCATAAAGTATTATCAGGATCCAGGCCAGCTGTCCACCATAACAGATCAAATAACCAATCTTATCTTTATACTACACAGACGGGCATGCTCAGCCATCACAAGGTTTCATACATGGATTATCGTCATTTAAAACAATGCAATCAGTTTATCGAGAAACCTATGTTGCAACTGATGGTAAGAGAATAGAATTATAACTTAAAACTAAAAAGTATTGAAGTTTTACACTTAAAATAGTAGCATAGGTAAAACTGTCAAGGCTTCCATAGTTTCATTGTGCTGTCTTCACTATAAGTAGCAACGAGATTTCTATGAGGATGATGACTCACACCAATCACGTCCTTCTCATGAACCTACCAGAAATAAATATTTAAACAAATTGTACCGTTATTTTCGTTTTCCAGCTTCATTCGAATTTAAACAAGCCAGCATCCAGTCATGCAATAGAAAATGTAAAAATCCAAACGAATAGTCAAATTACAAGCCAAGCAATGGAAAGTTCTGTTGAGACAATGTCCCATGGAAGGAGAAGTTATTTCAACAAAAACAAACAACACAGCACAAAGTGGCCTCATGAGTTTCCTATAATTATATGGAATTCAAACTTGTATCTTACAACTTCAAAGCATTCGATCACTGACTGATACTTCAATAAACTTCTTTACTGTAATTAATTTCCAGTAATCAGAGAACCATTCATATTCCGTTTCCTATAATTAAGCCAAATTGATGGATTATTTACATAGGGACTACAGTACTACACAGTAGACTTTGAATACAGGCTTTCCAACTTGGCTTAGTCCTCATTCATGTGTTCTGTGTAGAGAGGCACTGGAGAATCTACCACTAAAGTTTGGTTGAGATTCTTGCCAGTTGGAGGGTCTTAACCCCCCAAGTGTGGGTTGTTTCCTGATTCTACATAGAGAAAGATTGTTATGCCAGGCCAATCTTAATGCCTCTTATATTTCTATGGCTTATTATTTTACAGGGTATCAATGGTTGGAGCTTTTATTTGTGATTTTATTTATATTTTTGTCTTTTTTGTGGCCCTTTTATTGATATTTTATTTTTCTCTTTCTTTTCCTTCTATGGCCCTTCCTTTTTTTTTTAGTACAACATGTTGGGGAGGAGATTCGAACTCACACCCTCTTGGTTGGAGGTATATGCCAATTACAGGGTTTGAGGTATATGCCAATTACTGCTGAGCTATGCTCGTTTGGCTCTATACCCTTCTTTTATACTTTCATCTTTCTTATTTAAGTTTGATTTTCTCAATCAAAATAAAATGAAAACATAAAGACAGATAGCCTTCACAATGGAATTAATCTAATTGGGGTTCATGACTGACTAATGATCAGGCGGTTTCAAATATTTTATCAGACCAAGACAGAAAGATATATCTAAAGTATGGTAGCCTAATTATACATTAGCGAGCAACTCTGATTCCATCAGCCAACTAAAAATGTCCTATTAATAAGAAATGTGTTCTGATCTTCTCAAGTAGGCTTTTGAAGATAAAAAGTCCTTGGCAGAATTCATTTTGTTATAGTGCACAGCACACTTCTTGGTGGTGTTCAAAGTTCTAACCCAAGAAATTTTGTTTGTAATTATAGTCTCACTGTAATTATTAACGACTTGAAAGCACTTCTTTTTTTGTTTAATATTTGGGAAAGGGTAATCTCCACCCTCTACCCCTAGGCTGATCTTTTCTTTTTTTGCTATTCAATACCATGTCTCTTACAGAAAAAAAAATAAAAAGAAAAGAAAAGGAAAAAAAAAGAATCATCCAAGTATTTAGGAGTACAAAACACATACCTTCATGAGATGCTCCAGCTTACCAGACTGGACACTGAAGCAATACATATTCCTGCAGATGGTATACAAAATAAAATTAAAAATACTAAAATAAGGAATGGAGAGCATCCAAATATGTTACAGGCTTACAGCATAAGACCCTGGTAACAGATATAAAATGATTTTTTAAATAAAAAAAGGCTAATTATAGAACATATAGTTTAGAGTAACAACCAAATAACTTAGAACAATATATAGTTATACCAATTGACTGATGGCATA